ACACACACACACACACACACACACACATTGACTTCAACAAGTTCCATAGTGTTGCTCAAACTTAATGAAATAAGTTGTGTGTGTGTGTGTGTGTGTGTGTGTGCGTGCGTGCGTGCGTGCGTGCGTGCGTGCGTGCGTGTGTGCTTAACAATAAGAAATGAATGGTGTGGGCGATGGGGGAAGGNTGACTGCACTTTTTCCTAAATGGGATGGTGCAGTCTCCCCTAGCCGCACCTCTAGTAACCCCGGCTGATGAAGCCAGCCAGAGGAGGAGAAAGACTTCCCTCCGTGTGTCTGGAGTAAATTGAGAATGTGTGTGTGTGTGTGTGACAAAAGATCTATATAAACAAAGAGATGAAGTAGACAAAGTCCAGCTAGGCATGACTGCTCTACTGACTTGACACAGCTCTAGGTGTGTGTGTGTGTGTGTGTGTGTGTGTGTGTGTGTGTGTGTGTGTGTGTGTGTGTGTGTGTGTGTGTGTGTGTGTGTGTGTGTGTGTGTGGGTCGAGGGGAGGGGGGTTAATGCATGAATGCACTGCTACCTTGTCACCATGAAAGGTGTGTGTGTGTGTGTGTGTGTGTGTGTGTGTGTGTGTGTGTGTGTGTGTGTGTGTGTGTGTGTGTGTGTGTGTGTGTGTGTGTGTGTGTGTGTGTGTGTGTGTGTGTTTGTCTGCGTGTGTTTGTGGTAAGGGATGGACGCTCTGCTGACTTGTCAGAGTTGCGGATTTTGCCAGCAGGAACTTTGACTCATTTACAAAGTGGCATTGTAACACGCTCAGGATAACAGCATCAGCCAAATGCCCGAGATAGCAATGCAGACATTTTAAAATATAAAGCTGTGTAAGCATAAACTCATACCAAGGTAATCCAAACCCACTTTAAAATAACACTTGTTCATGCACAAGAATTTTACGGTACAATCTGTATTTTTAAGTTACATTATCCTATAATGTGTTTTTTTCAGCAAGACTATAACACCTGGCGTGATCTCAAAAGTAGAAGACAAGAAATTATCTATAAAATAACAATCTTTCTGATTTGATCACCTGTATTGACGACACAAATGTTTAAAGGCTAAAACTCTACAGGCAGGCTTTGGTACTTCTTAATACTTTTTATTATTAAATATTTTGTTCTCATATTGCTGTTGCAAATTAAGTGTGTTCTAGAGTTCACATACAGAACAGAGAGAAGTCAGAGAATTCACAGGAGAAGCATGAGTTCTTTGTGGTCTTATAATATATTAGACTTGCATACATTTAAGTATAATAGGCAGAAGAAGGGTACAAAATTGAAAGGTTAAGAAAGAGATCAGCTCTCAAAATTAACCTAATGTAAGCCTACTGTACAATCCTAAGGACTGCCAAACCTACTTTCCATCACAAAAGTGCACTCAGCGTAGGCAAACAGAAACGTACCCCCTGCATAATGCATGACAATACAATGGAGTATTTAACATAAAACAGGCGCAGACTTACCGGCTCTGTCAGCTCCAGGACATTAGCCCTGTACGTGATGGGACTGCAGTCACGGGTGTTTCCCACAAGCGTACATGGGAGGAACATGGGACCCAGGTCATCACCATCCAGTATGTCCACAGTCAGAGTGGTGGTGGCCGTACGGCGCTCACTGGGATAGGGGGCTCGGTCCTACACAGAGAGAGAGAGAGCTTTGATTGTATTTCCTGGATCATACTGCACTTTCTTTTCTAGATATCCAATATGTTTACCTTCATGTCAAGAACAGAAAATTACGGGGGGGGGTTTTATCACCGACCTTGTGAATGCAGCAAAACCAAGAATATAATTTGAGGTACATTGAATTGTTTCTACTTCAATCTATGGCAGTTTAATGAATTGAAGCATGCAGTATTTTTCAACATGATGAGACGTGACTCAACAGTTTATTTGATTGTAGTTTACCAAAGAAGTCGTAACAATCTTTCATGAAAGCATATAAAGTCATCCCAATTTAGTCAGTCCAGGGAATTTTTTTACATTTTATATCCACCAGTACAAATGTGCTCCTTAAGATATCATTTGAAAATACATTTTTGTGATCTCAGATGGGTTTAGTAAACAAATCGTGTTTCCAACTATAAACTGCAGTCAAAATGCTACGATTGGGTTGGCCTTAAGAAAAAAAAAATAGTACCACCTTTATATTCCAGAAGTAAGAATTGTATTGAGGTTAGGTATGAGGTTTTTGAATACCACTTCACCAAAATGTATGACCTTGATGCATCCAAAAATGAAACATGGGTCTGTTTTTATTCAGAAAAAGACCTTCAGTGGGGACCTCGTAAAATATCACAACAACTGGAAACAGGTTCTTGTCAGACATTGAAAGTAAGAAAATTCAGAACGTTTTATTTCTAGCTAGGCATTAACGTGTAACCATTTTGTGTACACATCTACATTTTCAGGGCCCTTTGATGTGGTAGTTTTCTGCTAACACATTTTTGTGTTTCTCTAACTTGAAAACCTGCCAAGCAATATAAGAAGCATTACATTTTGTGTAACTTCCTGTTTTACTGTTATTGACTAGACCTGAAATTAGTGTTTCTCGACCACTGAATTTTTGGTGTCTGACAGAAAAAGATATTTTCCAGGAATTAATCCCTTCAAAACGTTGCCTCGCACACTTTATTATGCTGTAACATCCATGTTTGTGTGCGGAGGCTTTCATAACCAGGGCAGCCAGTAATTTCAGGCGACGATTGACACCTAATTACATGCTGCATGCATATCAGAATAACTGGGGGAATGTAAACTAGACAGTGACAGCAGAGAAAAACGTCCAGAGTAATTGTAAATAACACCGGTATTGTATTTGTATTCTCCTCTCTTTCCAATTCTGCCCGCCTTGAATGTGCAGGCTTTACAGTGCATTGTTTCATGTTGTCTGTGACAGAAGAAAGAAAAATCTCAGAAAAAAATGATGAACTTTAAAATAATTGTTTGGATAAATTATTGACTGGCGTAAATAATTTCAACCCTGTTACTATAATTAGAGTAACAGGGGTAATTCTTCATTGGAAAATATACATTTGATGCCTAGCTGGGCAAATCACTTTTTTTGATGGTTTATTATCTGTTTTTCCTAAATACATAAAAAAAAATTATAAAATAAAAGATTAATTTTTCAAATATGTTGGTGTCTAAATTGTCCTCCAATTCTGGAATGACCATTATATTAAGGTACACACATTAACCATCAACTAGTTGTTAATTAACCTGGAAATTAGCATTATATTGGCTCTTTATTAGTCATTATAACACACTTATTAATGCCTTGTTCTACATGACCATAGTCTACAAGAAATAAGCCATTAGTCGAGAGTTTTTCCTCAATAACCCTCTAATTAGTGCTTATTTATTGCAAGTAAGGACGTTTTTATGAGCTTTAGTCTTGATATGCTCTGCTCAATATGGGCCTAATAAGGCAGTAGTACAACAAGAATAGTGATTCTCCCATAATAACACTTAACAAATATGATCTATTCTTATGTAACAAGACATGAAACTATAAGTGTTAATTGTGTCTGAATAACTCAAAATTAGGTATTTATATCTAAGAACATGTTCCCTATTTCAAAGTAAAGTCTTGCTCATAACCAATAAGCTAGTAGTTTGACTCTAATTAGGTATTTCTATCTAAGAATATGTTCCCTATTTTAAAGTGAAGTATTGTTCATAACCAATACGGTAGTTTGCCTCTAATTGACCTGAACAGGTTCCCTATTCTAAAGTTGCCTCCTCTTCACACTAAGTAAATACATTATAGCACACAACTACATAAATTAACCTCACCAGTACATGAACAAAGTAGGCACACGTTGAAATATCTGTTTATTAATGAACCACTAAAGTGAGGTTCAGACACATACCAAAACATTTNCCGTACTGCTAAAGATGGTGGCAAACCGTGCGCAGACCGCAGGAGACCTCAGAAGACTCAGAAGAAATCCCTGCTAGCTCGCAGACGCAAGAGAGTGGTCGCCGACGCAGACGCTAAGCAACGACAGGAAACATGTAGTTCAAGCTTTTAAAAAGGTTGTGCCTTTTTAAAAGCTTGTGCTTACCATCTTTAATGGGTCCTTATGACTATTGCAAACGTTCAGGTTGAGGCTCTATGGCAGGGTCTGCAACCTTTATTGACCAAAGTAGCCAACAACTTTTCACAAACCTTAAAAAAAAATAATATCATATAGTTTTATGTTAAAAAATTTGCAATAGTCATAAAGACACATTACAATGCAGCACAAAGCTTTTAAAGAAAGGAAAACCTTTTTAAAAGCTTGTACTACATGTTTCCTGTCGTTGCCATACGTCTGCGTCGGAAAAAAACACTCTCATTCGCGTCTGAGAGCAGCCAGGGACTGTCATCTTCTGAGGTCTCTGCGGTCTGCGCACGGGCGAGGCGGCTTTGTCTGCTTGGCCTTGGCCATCGTAAAAACTTAAACTCTGTCGAGGAACCAGGGGGCGTCTATTTGCAAACTTTCAGAAGCGAGGCTCTATGATGTCACCGATGATGTCATCACATTCCGGCATGACATCATGGCGCCTGATGACGTCAAGGCTGATAAACGTTGTCACTGATGAAAACATTCCCATTCTTTAAGCTTATTAAATGACATACCGATGCAAGACTGTGATGACTCATCGGCAATGACATCATACGGCAAATGTCATGCAGATGGAATGACCATCATCCGCTGACATCACAGAGCCTCTCCAGAAAGTTTGCAATTGACCCCCGTTTCCTCCACCAGAAGTTTTACGTTTTTTGACGATGCCAAGCAAAAACCGCAGACAAGCCGCTCGCCCGTGCCCGCGACGCAGTGAGACCTCAGAAAAAAGTCCTGGCCTGCTCGCAGACGCAAGAGAGTGGGATCCGACGCAGAACGCAAGCAAGACAGGAACTATGTAGTTAAGCCTTTTAAAAAGGTTATGCCCTTTTTAAAGCTTGTGCTACAATTTTTTAATGGTCCTTATGACTATTTGCAAATTTCAGGTTGAGGACTCTAGGCAGGGTCCGCAACCTTTTTGACAAATAGCCCAAGCCTTTTCCACACATTTTTGAAAAAAGAAACAAAAATTTTTTATTAAAACGTTGCATAGTCATAAAGACCAGACACAATGCAACACAAAGCTTTTAAAGGAAAAACCTTTTTAAAGCTTGTACTACATGTTTCCCTGTCGTTGCTAGCGTCTGCGTCGGGACCACTTCTCTTGCGTCTGCGGAGCACCAGGGACTTCATTTGAGGGGCTCCTGGCGTCTGCGCACGGGCGATTGCTTTGTCTCGGTTTGGCTTTGGCATCGTTGAAAAATTAAACTCCTGTTGAGGAACAGGGGGGTCTATTTCAACTTTCAGAAGAGGCTCTATGATGTCACCGATGATGTCATCACATTCAGCATGACATCACTGCTGATAACGTCAAGGCTGATAACGTTGTCACTGATGAAGACATCCCATTATTTTAAGCTTTTAAAATGACATCACCGATGCAGACTGTGATGACATCATCGGCAATGACATCATCGGCAACGTCATGCAGAATGCGATGACATCATCGGTGACATCACAGAGCCTCTCCAGAAAGTTTGCAGATAGACCCCCCGTTCCTCCACAGAGTTTACGTTTTTTGACGATGCCAAGCAAACGCAGACAAGCCGCTCGCCCCGTGCGCAGACGCAGGAGACCTCAGAAGAAGTCCCTGGCTGCTCGCAGACGCAAGAGAGTGGTCCGACGCAGACGCTAAGCAACGACAGGAAACATGTAGCACAAGCTTTTAAAAAGGTTTTGCTTTTTAAAAGCTTGTGCAACATTTTTAATGGTCCTTATGACTATTGCAAACTTTCAGGTTGAGGCTCTATGGCAGGGGTCTGCAACCTTTTTGACCAAAGGAGCCACAACCCTTTTCCACACATTTCTTTGAAAAAATAAAAATAATAATAATTTACAAAAGTTTGCAGTTTGTTAAAGTTTGTTTACGTCGCAGCTCGTGACGTAACTATGAGTCTAGTGGATGGTATCAGTACTACAAGTAAAAACATTTTTTAAATTTTTTTATTAATTACATTGTTTATAAATTAATCTGAGGGCCTCAAAAAGAGGAGTTCGCCATTTGCCCATCTCTACCCTAGAGGATTTGAGGTCCACCCCCACTTAAAATATGTTCACATGGATAGGTTCCTAAATACATTTGCAACTTTTTTTTAAATTAGTAACCCATGTCCANCAAGGATTTTAGCCCGCATAATCAAGGAATTTAGCCCGCATAATCAAGGATTTTTGCCCGCATTTTTCTGGAGGGTCTAGATAGGTTCCTAAATACATTTGCAACTTTTTTTTAAATTAGTAACCCATGTCCATATGTTTATTTTTGGTTGGTAGATTTAAGCTATAGGGCTATCACTATGGGCAGAAACGCTGTAAATATTGACAAATAAATCCAGCAAAATGGCACAAAAAAAACTGTNGTGTGTGTGTGTGCGTTAGTTTTAAAGACCCCCATAGAGCTCAGTTTATAACTCTAACCCTGCTTACAGTCATTGCTTTCTGACGGACTTGACCCTTTTACTCTTCAGGTTGCATAGGGAGAATTAGTAGCAGTCTACTGCCATGCTATTCACTTCACTTTCTCCCACTTCCTGTCTAACCTTCAGTACAAATGTTACAAAAATATAAATGTGCAAATGTGAAACATACAGGTCAATATCACCTTGCTCTTGGTAGCTGAACTGTCAATACCCCAAAACATATTCTTAGATATAAATACTTGATTTTGAGTTATTTAGACACAATTAACACTTATAGTTTCATGTCTTGTTACTTAAGAATAGATCATATTTGTTAAGTGTTATTATGGGAGAATTACTATTCTTGTGGTACTACTGCCTTATTAGGCCCATATTGAGCAGAGCATATTAAGACCAAAACTCATGGACAACAACTTCCTTACTTGCAACAAATAAGCACTAATTAGAGGGTTGTTGAGGAAAAACTCTCAACTAATGGCTTATTACCTGGAGAATATGGTCATGTAGAATAAGGCATTAATAAGTGTTTTATAATGACTAATAAAGGGCCAATATAATGCTAATATGCACGTTAATAAACAACTATCCAATGGTTAATTTGTGTACCTTTATATAAAGTGTTACAATTTTTTTTATGAAATGAACATAATTACCCGGTTGCTGAGATAACTCTCATAGCTGTGAAGTAGATGAGAAGCTAAGTTAGCTTAGCTTTCCTTGGTAGAACATGTTTGTGTTCGCTTTGAATTTATATTTAGCAAATCCACAGCCAATCAAGTTATTCTTAATATTGTATTCAGATAAACATTGAATACGTCTGGCTTTCAAGCAGTCAGAAACACATTAATCTTTCAGTGTTCTGTGGACTTGTAATAATGCTTTTAGGCTAAATGGGCCTTGAGACATGACTATTTGCCACTTCGAAAACCATTTCTCTTGAGTGAAATTACCTATAGCTATTGTAGAACACTTTTCTAAATAAACAGAGTGCTATAAAATGAAAGCAGAACAATTACTCTGACAAAGACATACGTGATAATTAAGGATGTGCTAATAGTTAACTTAATTAAAGGGCGGCTGTGAGGTAGAGCGGCTCTTCTCTTAATCACAAGGGGGTTAATTGATCCCTGCCTGTGCGTGACAAATTGTCATTGATGTGAAACTGAACCCACTTTTGATGCATGATTGGGTGAGGGAGAGGTGCTTTGTCCGAAAAGAAAGGAAGGCACTTCATAAATGCAGATTGCTGACTTAACAAGCAGCAATAGTCCAAAGGTGTGTAACAGGAATAGTACCATGATAAAACATTTAAATAAAATATAACAACATCCTAGGCTGCAGTCTATACTCCCACTCAATCAGGAGTTCATTGTCTTTAAGTTGTTCTTCATAATGGTTCTCAGTTGGAAGCTTTTCCTTTCAAAAAACGTTTTAAAAGTATATCATAGCTAAAGGCTGTGTTAAAAAAAAGTCACTTACATTTGCCTGTATGATGACCATGTAGCGTGTGATCTCCTCATAGTTGAGTCTTTCTCTGAGGACTACGGATCCAAAAAGTGTGAGGGGGATGTCAAAGGTCCTGTTTGTTGTCTGAAACACAGATTACACACATAGAAAGTCACTAACAGAGTCAACATAGTTCATAACCTGGTCCCTATTCCCAAGAGATCAGCAGGCAGAAGGATAGCCTACCGGGTCTCTGGGGTTGTACTGGATGGTGTACTCTATCTGTCCATTGGGACCGTCATCAATGTCTGCTGCCCCATTGTTCCCATAGAAACCAGAGAAGATAGTGGTTCCTACTGGCGTCATCTATGAAGACAACAGGAGAGAGGAGTTCAGTATCTTGTATACAAGCTAACAATACCTGCTGTCAAACGTTTAAACACTTTCACATTGGTTTTCACAACTCATATCAAACAGCTTCTATCTGTTCTGTTGTTTTCCTGGCATCTCCTGCCTGTATGTGGCAGAGGGGAGGGAGGGGCACATTAAAAACCTCCTCACATGCTTATGGCCATAAGGGATCCGGATACCCCACTGTCTCTACAAATATAAAATGACTTGCAGCTTAATGTTTATTGTGCTCAAATGGGGCTTGAGAGGGAGGATCAGCATGCAGCTGTTTGTGTGCTTTTGTTTGCTCTTGGAATAAAATGAAACACAGGCAGCAGGTTAGTACAACTTTTTTTGAGGGCACTGTTTGCGTAAATCTTTCTCTGTCAGTACTGTGAGAGTTTGCTACACGTAATCGCCCATTTGAATACAAGTGCTTACATTAAACGGGACATTGGGTGATAGGAAAACATGTATGGTATGTAAAGTTTGCTTTTTCTCCCAAAGACAACAAGGAGCATGTGGGTGTCTTTATCTATTTTTGGGTCTATTATTTTAGTTAAATAGAATAATAGTAACAGATTCAAACCAAACTCTGACTGTTAAAAAACACGAATCCATTTTTTAAAAGATTATAGCATGACTAAAAAGTGTGAATAAGACACCGTATCTTTTTCACACCTACCCTTTCCACAGTTTAACATTTCAAAATGTTATTTGCTCATACCAAAAGGTTTAATCCAATTTGCCGCCATGTTTAAGTAAACTTCTTCTTCTTGGAAAATGTAGGGTTGCCAGAAACTGACCATGATCAAAATCGATTATTCGGCAGCCCTGGCGAATAATAATCGATTATTCGACAGACCCCCCCCCCCCCCCGTGCCTGTTACCCCCGAGGTTGTTGTCACAACGTAACTGGACGATTGGAATACACTGTGTGAGCCGTTACATAATACTCTATTGTCTGTAGGTGGTTTATCGGAGACATGTACGAAAACGACAGTCTGCCCGTCGTCGTGTTCGTCGTCTTTCTCGTCTCAAAGAACCTGTCGTCTCCCTTGTATAGACAATCTAAGACTCGAAGGTCTTGATCGACGAATTCTATCGGTTAGGGTGGCAAATCCACACAGGAGGCTCTCAACTTAAATTGATGCTCCGCCAAGTTGCGACTTTTGACCTTGTTGCCTTTGTACCGTCGGCGACGGTCGGTCTGGGTCGTCCTTATAGAGTAATACGTCAGGAGGGGTCGGACAGGTTGAGTCTAGGAGAAGGAGTGGAGAGAGAAAGAGAGAGGACCGGGAGAAGGGCGAGAGGTGAGGTCGAGAAGTAATACAGTGGAAAAAGACGGTGGAGGGGCGGAAGAGACGTGTAGATATATAAAGACGAACAAGGAGGATGGTAGGAAGAAAGAATGTCGGGAGGTCAAAGAGTAATGAGATAATTGTATATAAGGAAACTATAACAAAACTTGCTGTGGCATGTTGTCTACGAAATATTTCTTGAAACTCTCTACTCAGGAGAAGGTCGGTGTACTTTTACACCAGACAATTTACAACCAACCGAACCCCAGTAGTAAAAAAATTTCAAATTTGTAACTCACACGTGTAATCCGATAACCAAATTAAGTGAAATGAAACGGGGTCTTGTACCATTTGTAATTTTTGAACGAAAAACAGCAGATAATCGATGGTTAATACTACGTTCCCCTCGCTCCGTCTGTCTAATTCTGTGTGTCTCTCCGTTATCGAATAAATATTCTTACAGACCCCGTGTCAAACTACTCAGAAGCGACTTTGGCGAAAGACCCAGTCCCACTAGGACCCCCGACCTAAAGAACTCAACCGTGGCCAACGGTCTCAGACGTCAAGAAAGTAATTTCGGCCATAGCGCTTTTTTAACCGTTTCACGTGTCGCCAGTCTGATGAGCTGGCGGTAACAACATAGTCACCCCTTCGTATTGGACAAATTCCTTGTACTACATTGTTTAGTAACCACGTCGTCGATTTAGATTTCGACTTACAGTTTCTACAAACAGTACGACAGTCCTCAAATCTGCCGCAACAACTATGTATTGAGTCTGTCCCAGGGTTTCCGGTGTACGGACCTTTTTAATGTCGCTACCGTTGCATTATCCGACCGTTTTTCGAAGGAAAAATAAAACGACATCATTAATAATTGTGAGGGAGAATTCTTGAGAAGTCTTTCGGTATAAAAGACTTCCATAGATAACATCGAAAGCAAAGATATGATCTTCACTCATAAGACAACGAGTCACGTACACTTGTAAATTTTATAAAATAATGGGCGGAGGTTTGAACTCATAACATTTGTTGCCGTTATAACCTAACACAACATCGCATCCAGGTAGTTGATCGTACCTAACGGTCACTCAATAACGCGTAATAAGACTTATAAGCAATGTCAGACGGTATTAGCCTTACATATAAAAATTTTTAGCTAAAAATAAATATAATAAAAATTAATACATAACATACCAACAACCCAAAACCCGAATCCAGTTGCGTTTTATCATCTGATTACGAATTATTACATTATCATAATTCTTACATTTCCGGCAAGCCAGTGTCGGTGTCAAACAAAATGACATTTGACACCTCCTTCGGACGCACGTCTCGGTCTGAGCGACAGACGAACGTCGTGGCGATGTGTCTGGGGCGGGGGTGGCTGGGGAGAGACGAGTGTGCACGCTGCTCTTACTCCTTGTTTCGCCGTCCATTTTTCTAAGGGGAGCACCTTGATGACGCTTTAATGTTCAGGTTTCGCCCTTCAATTTACGTTTTCGAGACGCTTTTCTGCAACCAGATAGTGTCGAGTTGGAGTTGTTACGCAAGCGTAAACTCAATCCTCTCGTCCGGTTTCTCCAATGTCTCCTTTCTGCGTCGTGACCGACGCGTATCGCGTAGAGTGTTTATTTTCCGTTTAACCGTCCGTGAAATCCTTTTATTGTTTTTAATTTGGTTGTAGTACAACTCCCATCCAGATAATAGCAAATAAAACGAAACATGACAATTTGTACTAAGGTCATTTCTTTTGTGCCTTAGGGAACAACTGACTCAAAAAAAAAGA